TCTCCCTGCTTGTGTTCCCTCTCTAGCTGTCTCTCTCTGTCAAATAAATAAATAAAATCTTTAAAAAAAAAAAGGAATGGGCTTCTGGAAGAACCTTGAAAACATTATGTTAAGTAAAGGAAGCCAGACACAAAAGGATAAGTATTGTGTGATCCCACTTAAATGAGCAATCTAGACTAGGGAAAGCCGTAGAGACAGAAAGTAGAACAGTAGTCACCAGGGGTGTCTCTCCTTCTCTCCATTGGAGAAGGAGAGAAAGGGGAGTCATTGTTTGATGGGTATAGAGTTTCTGGATAGGATGATGAAAATGTTCTAGAAGTATGTAGAGATGACGGTTCTACAATATTGTGAATGTGCTTGATGTCACTGAACTGAACACTCAAAAAAGGTGCAAGTGGGAAATTTTGTTCTGCACATTTTACCACAGTTTTTTAAATAACCAAATCAATAAAATATACCACTATAAAATTCATGTGTGTAGGGAAGATTTTTAATAAAAGTAAGCAAATGCTCTGGAGAAAACAAGGGAGCAACAGCCAACCAGCCTCCCAAGGGCTGACTCCCTGATGCCAGATGCGACGAGGCACGCTCCAAGAGTGAGCGCCTGGAAGTCACCCCTCACCTGATGACATCAATGGGGGACTGCATCCGCATCCTCTCCCTCTCGGGGACCACGTGCCAAGTGAACACCAGCCTCCAGTCGAAGCCACCGATCTGAGGCTCCCCGGAGTTGCCCAGGTACTCAAACGTGTTCCAGTCGATCACATCGATCACAGGGCACACCACTGCCGACTCCTCTTCGTGGATCCTGCGAACACCAGGATGCCCCGTGTGCCTCTCCGGGCAGAGAGGTGGCCGGGGGACTGGAAGGGAACTTGGGGATGAACTCTCCTCCTCCTTCCTAGCCTGTGTGAGAAGGCCTGTGCCTTCTCTTGCAGGTGTCTGCAGCCATGTCAGGCCCTGGCCGGTGCTCATCAGAGGGAATGCTCAGGTGACGGGGGAAGCTGAGGAAGGAAGGCTTCTGGCCTGAAGATGGAAGGTCCCACAGCTTTCATGTTCTGATTCCATCTATGACTATTCTGCATAAACTTGAATCCCTCCATGAAAGTCGGGACATGTGAAAATCAAAGGTCACTTTTAAAACAGAAAACAGATTTTCAGTTTCTAAAGATGGCAAGAGGTTTCTTCATGTAATCGCAATGAAACCTCTTCGTGTCAAGAAATAATTATCCCCCTTCAAAAGAGATGCACCCAGACCAGAGGATCAGCTTTGGAGCTCGAATAAAAATTCGAATCCTGCCCCTTATTTGCTGTGTGACATTAGCCAAGTCACCTAACCTCTCAGAGCCTAATCCCTGTGGGTAACACGGGCGCTTTGATACCTACTCAGAGGGTTAACGTGAGGACTCCCTGAGGGAATGTTTGTAAAAGATGGTTGACAGAGAACCTGGAACTATTGTTATTCTTTTAATTCTTGTTATTGTGCAATGTTATATGGTATTACATTGAAAAACCCCGTGCCTTCCCGCCGTAGATATCAGCCTGCGTGTCTGCTTCAGCTGCTCTCCACAGTCACGGCTGCAGATCCAAGCATCCTTCAGCAGGCTGCCATGTCGTGTCGGTATTTTGCATTTGACGGCACACCAGGAAAGATGAACCGGGGCTAGGCTGTGTGTGAACACTGGATTTCTCTGGGTTACATTTCGGGGGCTTTTCTCTGGGATTTGAGACCTAAAAATCCTAAGTCACACAGAGCAATGGTGTGAAGAAACAGAGATCAAGCAGACTTGAGCTGTGTCTTTAGAATAATACCTAAGTGAGAATATCACACTTAGGTAAGAATTACACTATTAGGTGAAATTGCACTGTTCGGGATAGATTGCATGAATAAAACCTGGGAATTCTCTAAAGTGAGGGAGATGCAGACCGGGTACCTATCAACACCCAATTCTTTAAATAAACTGAGGGTGCTCTTAAAGGGTTTGAGGGGACCAATGGCAGACCCGCTGAGCAGGTTCAAAGAAGCTGCTTAGCCCCTGGCAGAGACAAGAACTTGTGACTTGGAATCAAGCTGGTTGGAACCATGGGGAGCCTAATTTTTATAGGAAAAGGAGAACTAGGGGGAGCCAGCCTTGCCGTAAAGGCCCCTGGAGCATGGTCACACAATGAGCAGGCCCAGTAGCAGTGCGCCCCACAGCGGGGCGGGGGGGGCGGGGGGGCAGGCATGCTACTGGCATCTGGGGCAAACCATTCTTTGTTGTGCGGGGCTGAGTTGCGCACTGTGGGCTGTCCGGCATCCCTAGTCCCCAGCTTAGAAAAACGCCAGGAGTACGACTCACCTGACTTGAGAACCAAAGAACATCTTCTATATCCAAAAGCCCCTGGAGGAATGGGGTTACCGTTCCTGTTGGACCGTCTAAGGGACCAGTGTGTGCCAACTCTGGTGCCCACCAAGGTCCCTGGGGAGCTCTGGAAACATCCAGAAGCCCAGGCCCACCCCCAGAGATTCAGATCCAAAGAGTCTGCTGTGAGAACAGGAGTTGATATGTTTTACCAATTCCCCAGATGGGGTGCTTTTGTCTGGAGATACGGAACAAGGAACTTGTCTGTGGACAGGACTGCCTTGCTGCCCTCAGGGGATGGGCTAGAGCGGAATTCTGGGCAGCGTTAGCGCATCGGCTGCCTTTAGACCGGCCTAAAGGCAGCCATCTGTGTGCACATGGGGAGGGGGCGAAGGGCAAACCCACCGGTCCAGGTTCCCGAGGGAACTCTTAGCTGTCACCATATTCTAAATAACCTCAGACTCCATCACAGCCTTGGGGAACCCTGGGTTCTTGCTGCTAGCGAAGCTCAGCAGGAGGAGAAAGAGGCAGCTGGGGCACCCACAGGGGACAGGACCGAGGACAGCAGAAGTGGCAGAACAGGGGACAGCCTGGTCTCACACAGGAAGGGAGGCAAGTGGGTCCCCAGTTCTTCTAGGCACACTCTGGCAAACAAAGCGCCAGAGGCCACGGGAAAGCAGTTTGCCAACTGCAGAGATTCTGGTCCTCCAACCCTTCCCCAGCTCCACAGGGAGGGACCAGATGCAGACCCCCCACCTTGGCCCCTCCTCCCCCACCCGGAAGAACTCTGAGCTGGCCAGCCCAGCTCCTGACCACTATGATGCCGAATCAGGAGAGTAAGGAGAAAAAGAGGGAAGAGAACAAAAGGCCCGGCGACTGCAGTTTTAGAGGACAGACAGATTGGGAGGGTCAAGGTAAGACACTGTGGGACAGCAGGAGACATACCCTTGAAGACAGGGCTGTATTATGACTTTTCATGGCTCCATAAAAAATATATATATTAAAAACTATATTTTACGACTATGTTGGTATAAGGACACCATCCAGGCTAAATTCATTACTGTACAGTCATTATTGATATTCATATTTTCCTTCTGATTGAAAAAAACAATTACTGCAAAAACATTTTTGTGGGTATGTTAAAGGTTCATGGGTCCTAAGCATTGTAGGCACTGGGTATAATGGATAAGACAGCCTTGCTTGAAGGAAATACGCCAAAATATATATTCTTTAGCAGTGTGATTCTATATGATTGGTATTTTTTTTCTTGATCATACTAAGGTGTTCCACAGTAAACACATAAAATAAGTAGGAATAAAAGCAAACACTCATAGGGCCTCCTACATGCTAGCATGTTCTAAGGACTGTCTGTGTATTAGTTCACTGAATGGCCTCTGCAGCCCTGTGGGGCATGGACTGTTATCATGCCCAGTGACAGAGGACTGCCCAAGGAGCATCTGAACCCAGGCGCCCAGCAGCTCCCTATGCCCAGGTAAGACATTTCTGCTTCTGCACCATGTGGGGCCCCCGGCTGCATGCTCACCTCTGCAGCAGCGGCTCGAGCCACCCCTCGTGGCACTCACAGTGGCAGTCCAGGAAGGTCAGCACTTCACCTTTTGCCGCGGAAGCGCCCAAAAGCCGGGCTCGCACCAGGCCCTCCCTCTTGTTGGCGCGGATCAGACGCACCTTGGGCAGCCCAGACAGCTCATCAGCCAAGCGCTCCTTCAGGTGTTCTGGGGAGGCAAGTAAGGCAAGCAGGGTCACCGCCACACATCCCGAGCCATGTCCTTCTGGGGCCTCGCTATCCCCAAGAAGAAAACTGAATAGACAGAAGCCTCCTTTGCTCTGCACCTGGGATGTCCTCACCTCACCCAGAACCGAGGCTGGAAGCGCAGGAAGGCCAGGGGAGGCTGGGGCAGAGGAATTCCAGAACCCCGGAATGCTCCCCTTCACAACACATGCACACTGAATTGTATGTTTGAAATGGGTGCATATGGTATGTGGATGTATTTCAACAAAGCTGTTACCCCCTCAAAAACACATCACACCTTGACTTGTGAACATTTAAAAATGAAGAACACAAAAATTGCTCAACCACAATTTTTCAGAAAAATCGGCTTCATATAAACTTGGTTTATTTATGTTAATTATGTAATATGTTATAAAATTTTAATTTATGTGGAATTATGTTAACAAATTTTATTTATATTTATGTTAACGTAAATTTTCTCAGGAGCACATTTCACTGGACACGGTAATAGAAATAATGGCAGCTCACACCAGAGGGCCTCCTGTGCTAATTACTGTCTAGGGGATTTATCTCTAAGTCACGTGAGTCTTTTAACTTTCCCATGAGGTAGGCACTACAACAATCCCCATTTATAGATGAGAACACTGAGGCCAGGGAGGCTAAGTAATGTGCCAAGGTCCCAGAACAAGTGAGCTAAGGAGCCAGGATTTTAACCCGGTGGCCCTGGCTTGAATCCACAGGCTTAATTAACACTGCCTCCCAGCGCTTTCTTGTATAATCTCTCATCCTTGTGAAACAAATCCAAAATTTGTCAGGAGGACGTGCTCATCCCATTTGGCAGAAGAAGAAATGAGGTTTTAAAAGTTGAAAGGTTGTGCCCTGGCTGGCCCCAGGACTTGTGACTCCACACACATACCGGGACTGGAGGCCCTGGTTCATACCCCTCCGTGGGTCACGTGGAGGTGGGTGGGAACCCATCAGGCAAAATAAAAACAAGAGGATCTACCCATGTTGATGTGGGCTTTGTCTGAAAGTCCTCAATCATCGGCAAAAGGGAAATTTTTTTAAAAGAGTTTTTATTTATTTATTTGACACAGAGAGAGAGAGAGACAGCGAGAGCGGGAACACAAGCAGGGGGAGTGGGAGAGGGAGAAGCAGGCTTCCCGCAGAGCAGGGAGCCCGATGTGGGGCTCGATCCCAGGACCCCGGGACCACAACCTGAGCCAAAGGCAGATGCCCAATAACTAAGCCACCCAGGCGCCCCAGCAAAAGGGGAAATTTTATGAACTGTTCTAGGTTGCTTCATAGTTTGTAAAAATGTTTCTCTAAATATTCCTAGCACTCAAAAAAAAAAAAAAGCATTCATTGGTTGATTTTTTTTTCAATCCTAAATATAACTGCAAATAAGCTGACAGCACAAATAAGGGAGGTGACTTCCCAAGCAAAGCTAATTAGCGGCAGTGCCCAGTAAACATACACGAAATTGCAGGTGCCAAAAAAAAAAAAAAAAGGAAATGCCTGTGTAGTCTCCTTGCACTCTTTATGGATTTGGTCAGCATCAATTTTATGTCTGTCTGAATGGTCTTCCCATGCCCTGGGGGGCTGACACCCCTTCATCCAGCTCAGACTGACACGCAGAGAAGGCGGCGGGGAGGAGGGGCAGGGCAGGGCTCCCATCTCTTTACAGGCTGAGCGGGCATGTTGCCCACTCTACAAGTTACCACGATGGGGAGGGAGCCTCGGCCCCACAGGGCCTTACACTGGCATCTTCAAGAGAACGGAGCTGCGCGGGGAGGGCTTTATCCCGTAGCCCTGCCCGCTGAGGAGCTGTTCCATCCCATGAGGAACAAAATAAATAATCTGATCTTTGCTTCTGAACGAATGCATTTCTGAAATGTTTTCGGCATTCCACAGTTTAATATTTCATAAAAGGACAAGTTACCATTTAGCAAACACTAACAATACGCCAGGCACTGGCCTAGCACGTGACCCACCTTTCTCTCAATCCTCACAATGACCCTATGAAGTAGGAACTGTTATCCCATTTTACGGGGGCTGAGGCCAAGGTTGACACTGGACTTGCTCAAGGTGGTGTAGCTACAAAGTGTTGGAGCTGGGATGCCTGTGCAGTGTGATCCAGAACCAGTGCCAACACTGATTTAAAACAGCCCTGGGAGGAAAGGACCAGAGGAAACGGAGATGCGTACCTACTGCGTGCCGGCTGACATGGAGTTTCTGTCCTGTGCACGATCTCATTTATTCCTCACCGCTTTCTGATATAAGTGTGGATAAACCCATTCACAGATGAGAAATCGAGGCTCGGAAAAGACAAGTGACTTGTCCCAGGTGCCATGACAGGTTCACGGTAAAGCTCACCTCAGGCCCAGGTGCCCTGACCCCAGAACTCAGTGCCAGGTGGGCATCACTCCACATCAAACCCCAGCCTGGCCTGCATACTGTCATGGAGAAGGCCAGCTGAGGCCAAACACATGCTCTCCCCGTGGGTGCACACGGCCACCCATCATATAGCCTCCCGTTCCCAGCCTCCCTTGCAGTCAGGTGCAGCCAAGTGACCCTGTTCTGCTCAGTGGGATATGAGGGCAACTTCCAGGTCTGGCTCCCCAGCCCCTGGCAACCCTTCTGCCAACAGGAACGAGCAGAAGAAGAACCAGCCTGGGGCATGCAGACAAGGCAGCACAACATCCTGGAGAATGTGGAGCTACAGAGGAGAAGGAGCTGGGGCCCTAACGCTGTGAAGCCCGCCACTCCAGCCCTAGACGGTTACGCAAGATATGTGATGTGGGAGACATCATTTTTATCCTGTGTAAATCACTGTTATTTTGAGTCTCTGTGAGAACAGCCAAACACACCCCCCAATTAGGACACATACTCCAGGCTTTGAAGTCCGACAGGCCAGGCCCAGAGCCTGAAGCAGCAGATGCCCAGGAAGCAGGAGCTGCTATCCTTATGCGTGGCCCAGGGATGGTAATTTGGCTTGAAACGGGCTATGGCCTTGACATGTCCCCTCAGCTGAGCTTGCCCTCACTCAGCTCGTCATGTGGCACGGGGCATGACAACAGCAGCCCTGATGCCCTACCCCCCCATCCATCGGCGATGCCCCACGGGGCAGTGCAGAGAGCCCAAGACCGAGCGACCTTCCTGTTCCCTCAACGGCCCTCAGACAGCTCCGATCAGGCTCCTATTTTAGCCTACACCCCTTATAGTGGCCCCCAGGGCCCTACTGGCCTGGCTTGCCCACCCCTGCAACAGCGTCTCCCATGCCGCCTCCCCACCGGCCAATGGTCGGCCCCGAGGAATGCCTGCTCACCCCAGCTCCTTCCCATGCCTGCGGCTGCTGGGCTGCCTCCTTCTCTACATCCCAGCTTTTGGCTTAAAACCACCTCCTCAGGGAGGCTTCCACCAGCTAGAGGAGGGCCTGTGCCCAAGCTCCACTTACTCTCCTACTCCCACTTTGTTTCATAGCACTTTCTACCTTGCTATATTACATTTGCTGTATCATTATGTTATGCTATGCTATTTTACATTGTGTTGTGTTGTCTTATATTATTCTTTACACGTTCATTGACCATGTCCACTCACATCTCTACCCACCGGAATGTGAGTTTTATGAGAGCAGGGACTTGTGTTTCCCACAGAATCCCTGGTGCCTGGAACAGTGTCTGGCACACAGTAGAAACTCACAAAGTGTTCACTGAATAAATCAGGGCCAGCCCTGAACTGCATGTGAATTGCTGGACCCCAGGTCACTGGTCAGGCCTGTAGGGACGCCAGCCACCCTCTCAATGGAATGTCTCTCCCTGGCTTCAGTTCTTCTCCTGTCTGGGCTGCCCCCCACTTTTTAAAAAAGTTTTATTTATTTATTTGAGAGAGAGAGAGAGTGGGGCAAGGGGGAGAGGGAGAGAGAGAATCTCAAGCAGACTCCCTGCTTAGCACAGAGCCTGACGCTGGGCTTGATCTCAGGACCCTGAGATCATGACCTGAGCTGATATCAAGAGTCATACGCCCAACAGACTGAGCCACCTAAGTACCCCTGGGCGGCCCCTTTTTGATCTCATCTCAAACTCAACACATCCAAAGCCAAATGGCCCCCTTCCTCTCCCAGACCTGTTACTCCTGCCCTGGGTGGCTTTTCCAGTTCTGGGACAGCACCACCACTCACCCAGAGACCCAAGGCAGAAGCCTGTAGCTCCTCCAGATGTCATGTCTCAAATGTCCCTCCTTCCCCTCCCCACCCCTCCCCTCCACTCCCACCTGACTCCCAGCCTCCATCTCTCACCTAGGCCACCTCTACAGTCCCTGGCCTCCCCGCAGAGCTCCCCCACACACCATTCTCCACCCACAGGTATCTTGGGCCTAGAGGGATACCTCAAAGGGCAAAACTGCTCTCCTGTTTAAAATCCCACCTCTCGTCTCCCTGCCCTCAGGACAAAGTCCCAATTTGACCTCATTTCTAATGCCTGCACCCTTCCCCAGGTCTCACCTCTCTCCTCTGCCTGCTCCCCTTGAAGCAGCTGCTCCTCTGGCCTTCCTGAACTACCTACAGCTCCTACACAACCCATGTGACACTGTGCCTCTGAGCCTTTCCACCTTCTGTGCCTCCATCAGAACCCCTCCCTCCACCTTTGCTGCCCACAAACTACTCACCCTCCAAGATGTAAGGTCAGCCCCTATTCCCGAGTGCCTCATCTTCCTGCAGCACCATGTGATAGAGCTGTCAGCACCCCTGCATCCCCAGCAGGCTCTGAGCCCCCTGAGGGCAGGGGCCGGGCCCAGGGGGACACAGGAAGCCCATTCTGCCCACATTCCACCCCTCTGAAGTCATGCTTTTGCCTCCCAGGCACCGCCGTGGAAAGCCAGGCCCCTCCAAGAGTCCACGGCGGGGGCTCACCTCTATCACTGTAGTCATCTACAAGGATGACTTCTTCTAGCAGGATGTCTGGGGACGTCTCGAGGACACTGTAAACTGTCCGGAGGAGGGTCGACCAGGCTTCGTTATAAAACGCTATGACAACAGATGTCGTGGGCAGATTATCATAATCATATTTCTTCTCTTTGCACCTGCAAATACAAGACAGTTTCAGGAATAGAGAACCTGCTGCGGACCGTGTGCACCAGGCCTAGGCTGGTGCTGGGGAGGGAGGCGCAAAGGGGACCCGGGTCACCGTCTCGAGGCCTCTTCCTGGGAATGGAAAATCATCTGCTGGCATCTTCCAGAGCCCCCCCATCCCCACCTTGTGTTCCACTAGGAACCCTAACAGATTTTAAGAAAGGCTCTAAAATGACACCCTATAAGCTTGAACGGTGGGATGCTGTTTTTAAGCTTTAGGGCAATTTTCAGATTTGCGCGACAGACAAGCTAAGCAGACCAGAAGGGAGGGAGACTGCCTCTCTCACCGCGGTCTGCTCCCTTCCGGCCCCGTGGTCAACTGCCAGGCCTGGGCTCAGACCGTGCCGTCTGCCTGGAGCATCCTTTCCTCGTCTCTCTACCTGGCACACTCTCTGGCCTCCTTCTGTCCCTGGGCCCGAGGGTGCAGGCAGCTGCTGGCTGCAGGAGGGGCCCCTAGCCACGCGTCCCTTCCAGCAGGTGTCACTCGCTGTGCTCTGGCCACTGGCTGGACTCTCACTGCCCTCCCAGCACCACCCCAGCTGCGCGTCCCTGCTCACAAAGGCAGTGCGCTGGACCCAGAAACTGGAGCTGCCGCCAGAATGCTGGAACAGTCTGCAAGGGCTCCGGAGAGGACCCTGACCAACCCCCCCTTGAGTACCCACGCCACCCCTCAATCCACTCTGTGGCGGCCTGGGGGGTGGGGGAGGTGGGGGGGTAGGGTGAGGGGATGTGCCTTGACTGGCAGTGACAGGAACCAATAAGCTTCCTCGTTCTTTAGTAGGGTTTCCTGTTACTTTACAGGGAAGTTTCCCTACTTGACAGAGAAGTCTCTCCTCACAATAGCTGATGACAAACTCCCAGGGTCATCCCAGGGGCTGGGCCATGCCTGGAACTCATCAGCGAGAAATGGCCAGAGAGGGGCAGGAACAGAAGCCCAAGAGGGGCACCTGCAGGGCCCCGGGGCTGGAAGGGTGGGCTGGCAAAGCGAGAGGGGCATGCAGGCTGAAGAGAGGACAGGCTGCTTGGACAGAAAGGGAAGGCCTTACAGACAGGCCGGGGACACATCGAAGAGATGCAGAACGTAGCAGCGCGAGGAGTGAAGCTAGCTCTGTGAACTGTCTGCCACGGGCCAGGCGATGTACCAGGGGGCCCTTACCGGTCAGTCACCAAATATCTCCTGATAGACTACTAGGTGCTGGGTTTAAAAAAACAACAACTCCCCTGCTCCCACAGAGCTTACATGCAAGGGGACAATAATCAAGTAAGCAAACATATCAGTAATTTCAGTAGGCGATGGTGCTAGGAAGAAAAGCAGGATGCGAAACAGAGCAACTGTTGAGGGGTGTGGGAAGGGGGAAGGGGAGTAACCACAGAACAGGTAATCAGGGAGGGCCTCTTAGAGGAGGTGATGTGGAGGATGAGACCTGAATATTGAGGGACCCGGTCCTGCAAAAAGCAGAGAGAAAGCCCTTTAGGTATGCACTTTATTTCTTTGTGGTTTTTCTCCCTTTAGTTCATTATGAAAATTTTCAAACATACAAACGGTAGAGAGAATATTATAAGACAGTCCTGGGACCTTGGGCCCGACATCAACAATTCTCAATGCATGGTCAATCTTGGTTCATCTAAGCCCTCACCCACGCCCTCCATCCCAGACTAGTGTCAAGCAAAACCCCACATAGCACAGCATCCATAAATATTTCGATAGACCTAAGAGATAAGGACTCTTTTTTATAATAAAACACAATAAAGCCAAAACACCTTAAAAAAACGAGTGATTCCTTAGTGCTACCATATCTCCAATCTACAGTATTTCGTAAAAATTAAGATGCCAACGGTTGGAAGACACACCATTCTTTTAAGAATCTCTAAGAGGACACATGTCGCCTAACTGTAGGATGTGTTGATTTTAAGATGTCTCCAAATCTCAGAAATGTTTAAATATGAAAAAAAAAGACTTAAAATTAATGACATTAATACTTTAACTCAAAAACACGTGCTATGTTGGCATTTATTGAAACGGGGCTCAGCGAGGTGAGTAACATGGGCGGTTCACAGAATGCCGGAGGGCGTGTACCTGCCCAAGGTTCTTGGGCCCAGGGCCCTTGTCGTAGGGTTCTGGCTCACTCCCGCCCCCCAGGGCGCTCAGGTGAAGATCCCAACACCATCCCTCCCTGCCTAGCCCTCCTTCCGACAAGCCACAGGCAATTTCTCCTGTGCTTCTTCCTAAACGTCAGGACAGCTTCTGCAGAGGGCCCTGCTGTGACTGGGATGGGCTCTCGCACAGGAACAGCCTTCTCTGGGAGAATCTGTGGGAGGCTGGCTCATCTCAGCCACCTTTACATTCTTACTCCTGCTGCGTTTGCAGGCCTGGCTCTGGACACTTGAGGAAAAGTCAGCCGAGGCTGCAAGTGTGGCAGCTCTGGTATTGTGGAGCGAGAGGGCATCCCCAGCAGCCCGAGCAGCAGGACCTGAGTCCTTGGACACACAGGCTCCCAGCCCGGTGCATAGAAGCCATCACTTAGCACTGCGCTCCCCAGAGGAGAGTCAAGCCTGCACTCCAGGGGAGAAGGCGGCTCCATCCTTTGAAGGGGAGAATAACAAAGACTTTGTGGATATGTTTTAAAACCACCGTGCAGGGTCAGAATGCAGCGGAAGTAAGAGTAGGAGTCTTCCAGATCAGGTCCTAAGACGCTGAAGTTTCCTCTTTGTTCCTGCCCACGGACCACCCATTCTGGGGGAAGCCAGCTCCATGCAGTGAGGCGAGGAGACTCAAGCATCCTTTGGGGAGGTCTCTGTGGTGAGGGCCTCCAGCCAACAGCCAGTCCCAACTGTCCAGCATGGGATGAGCCCTCTTGAAAGCAGATCCTCCAGCCCCAGTTAAGCCTTGAGATGATGAAAGCCCGGGCAGCATTTTTTTGACTGTGATCTCATGAGGGATCCAGAGCCAGAACCACCCAAGCCACTCCCGAATTCTTGACCCACAGAGATTATGTGAAATCACAAATGTTTATTGTTGCTTTAAGTTACTAAGTGTACGGCACTGCATACGCCGAAATAAATCACAAGGAATCTTTCAGCTAAGCCCAAACTGAAAGATGTTTTATAAACCAATAGGCCTGTACTCTTAAAAAATGCTGGTGTCCTAAGAAAGACAGGCCTAAAGAGACACAACAAATAAATGTCACACTTGATTCTCGATTAGATACCGGGTCAGGAAGAAAAAGCTCCTCCAAAAACAGGCACAGCTGAAAAAAATCCAGTATTGTATAAACTTCCTCAATTTGATAACTACATCATGGTATCACAAGAGAATGTCCCCGTCCCTAGAAAATGCATGTGGAAGTAACAAGGGACCAAGGGTGTTTATTGCTGAAATGTACTCTCAAATGTGTATAATATTATAGCAGAGAGAGAGAGAGAGAGAGAAATTAAGTAAATGGGGCAAAATAATGAATGGATCTAGGTGAAGGACAAACAGGAGCTTCTTATGCTATTCTTAAATTTTCTCTGGCTTTGAATTTTTTCAAAATCAAAAGTGTAATACAATAAGAAGAAAAAAATGTTAATGTTGCCAAGGGTATAGCCAAGCACCAAGCCAATTCTGATTCTAAAAATATGTATCTCGAGCTTAGTGGCCCTAAGGCCCTCTCCTATCTCACTCTTCCCCACTTAACCAAAATTGCTGCCCTCCTCCAAATACATGGTACAACAAATGGAACACATATATAGGTAGAAACATATTGATAATGTATCTGCATTTTAAAAGCCCTTGACTCATAGCCAGGGTGCATGCAAAAGCTATGTAGCACTGAGTCAGAGCCCACTAGAAGATTTGGAAATAATTAATTGCTTATACTCCATGAAAAAAAAAATGTGTTTCTGTGCAACCTAAAAATAAAGCGTTTTTTATTTTAAAAAAAAGCAAAAATTTAGTTCCGAACGTACACAGGTCCAAGGAGGAATGAATGGAAACAAGGACAGTAAACAGGTTTTTAAATATCAAGTTTTATTCAATTTTAACAACTGTCCTTTCATGTGAAATCACATCCTTACTGTTCAGTATTAAAATGTGTTTCTTCTAGAATGAGAGTAAGTAGGAGGGCAGAAAAAGCTCTGCTTGACCAAATAACGCTGGGACCAGATGTCTGTCCCTCCTCAGTGTTTTTACGTGTTTTCACTGCTCTGCAAAACCCCAAAGCCCAAGGCCACTGTTCTAAAACGTCTAGGTCCTCTATTTGTGTCCCTTTAAATCAGAGGAGTGCCAGGTACCAGTTGGCAAAACATACACAGAGCTTCAAAATGTTCCTCTTCTCGTTAATCTCGTATCAATATATCAAAGAACTTCTCACCTAAGGGAATCATCAGAGATACCCCAAAGGAAACCTGTGGTGAACAATTTTTCTTTGTGGGGCACCTGGGTGGCTCGGTCGTTGAGTGTCTGCCTTCAGCTCGGGTCATGATCCCAGGGTCCTGGGATCGAGCCCCGCATCGGGCTCCCTGCTCAGCGGGAAGCCTGCTTCTCCCTCTCCTACTCCCCCTGCTTGTGTTCCTGCTCTTGCTGTGTCTCTGTCTGTCAAATAAATAAAATATTAAAAAAAAATTTTTTTTTCTTTGTAACATTATTTATAACAGCAAAAAGCTATAAACAATTCCAACGGTCTAACAAGAACATGTGAAACGCGGGGCAGCTGGGTGAAGAAAGGCTACAAGACCATCCAAAACCACGTTTTCAGAGACTATTTAACAGTAAAGGAGAATAACTTCACTGTAACGGTAAATCACAAAAAAAAGGGTACAAATCTATAAACAGCAGCATGCGTGCGCGAGCATGCTCCCACACAAACAATACACAGTAGAAAGAAATATGCCAAAAATGTCAACAATGGAGATCTCTGAGCAGCGGGATTATTGCGGATTCTTGCTTCTTTACAGTTCTCTGCATTCTAAG